GCGCTACGTGCACACGGACTGCACATAATGCAGATCTGACGGAAACACTTTGACTGTCTCTTGAACAATCGTTCAGAGATCGACTGGCGTACATTGAACGGCCTCAGGCAGCACGATGTGAAGGCGGATCTGGCGGACACGCCGACACTGGATGAGACACAGAGAGCACTTGCTCAGCTGCAAAACGGCAAGTGTGCTGGGGCCGACGGGATCCCGCCTGAAGTATTGAAACACGGCGGACAAGCGTTGGTGACTGCACTGCACCGCTTGGTGCAGCGTATATGGATTGAGGAGGAGGTGCCTGCTGTGCTGAAGGATACCCTTGTGCTACCACTGTACAAGGGCAAAGGGAGCAAGCAATGTTGCACGAATTATCGTGGCATCAACTTGCTGAGTTGTGTGGGCAAGGTGATTGCCCGAATCCTGCTCAACCGCCCCGTCAGTCAGGTTTTGTAACCTAACGTGGCGGAGGAGCAATGTGGATTCCGCTCTGGTTGCTACACTATAGGTATGGTTCTTGCGGCTCCTCAGTTGCAGTAGAAGTGCTGAGAACACCAGCCGTTGTACTCTTTTTGTTGTTTTTACCAAGGCATTTGTTACGGTGAACCGCGAGGTATTGTGACTGGCTTTGAGTAAGTTTGGTTGCCCGCGTAAGTTCGTAAGTTCAATTGAATGTCTGCACAGTGGTATGCGAGCGAGGGTGCAGCTGAGAGGAGAGACCTCGGATGACTTTGCATTTGTCTCTGGTGTGAAGCAGGGCTGTGTCTTAGCTCCTGCTCTGTTAAATATATATCTTCATGTAGTGATGTGCTTTGAATGCCGCTTGTGCTTACGGCGTTCGTGTGGAGCACCGTATTGATGGTGGGTTGCTGAACATCCGTCGTTTCGGTGCGAGAACTTTAGTCTGTGAGATAACCATCCGTATGTTGCTGTTTGCTGACGACTGTGCGTTGTTTGCACACAGCGCGGATGAGTTGCAGCACATGACTAGTGCTCTGGCTTCGACAGCAGCCACATTCGGGCTCACCATCAACACAAGCAAAACCGTCTGTCTCTTTCAGCCTTCAATATTGCCGCGAATCAGCATTGGTGCTGAAGTATTGGAAACTACCTCCCGCTTCTGCTACCTTGGGTGTGTGATGTCAACTGACCAACAGCCACACGGTGAGCTGCGTATCCGCGTGTCGAGGACAGCGGCGGCAATCGGGAAGCTTGAGTACCGAGTATGGAACAACCATCAGCTTACGATTGGCACGAAGCTGATGGTGTACAAATCCATGGTGCTGTCCGTTCTTTTATACTGCAGTTAAAGGTGGACGATATACTGGCGGGATGTGCGATATCTCGAGCGGTTCCATCAGCAGTGTTTGCGACGCATTTTGCGCATCAGTTGGGGCGACAGATTTGCTGACACGGAAGTGTTGCGACAAAGTGGGATGTATGCAATGGACTGCATACTTCTGCTGAGACACCTGAGGTGGCTCGGTCATGTGAGCCGTATGGATTCGACGGGGATACCGAAACAACTCTTACATGGTCAGCGGAATGTAGGGAAACCAAGGTTACGTTACCAGGACATGATCAAAGTGAGCTTCTCACGTTCTAATCTTGATTGCAGGTCATGGGAATCGAAGGCGGTTGATCGGCGTGCATGGTGCGATCTGATCACGAAGGCAGTTGCCGAAGTGGGGGAGAAAGACCTCATACATGCAGAGAAGAGGCGGCAAGCACCGACGGGTTGTACTCCATCGACATCGAGCGCATGGTGCTGTAGCATATGCGGTCGTGAGTGTCTGAGTCAGGCAGGCCCAGTGAGCCATGAGCGAGGCCACTCGGGACCACTACCGAAGCGAGGAGGGGTCCTGCAGAGAACGTAGGCAGAACCGGCGCAGCGTTTGTAGATACACTGCATTAGATTTACGAACCGCGTGCTTGCATGCTGAGTCTCTTTATTTCAGGTGGTGGGTTTGCAGTTTTGTCCTAATGCTTCTCTTTATCATATTAATGTCTACCAGTACTCTGTTCTATGAGCTTGCACACGTCGCTTAATCTAGTTGTAGTTAATTTCGATAACATTTTCGTGCTTGTGGCATTTCCGTAAAATATACTTTTTGACCTCTTTAACTTATTTCGGATTGTTTTGTAAACAACTTATTTCATACGCTCATTAATTTAAGATTTATTTCACCGTTTCCTTATGTATTACTCGATTTATTTTATTTTATCTTTCTCTCAAATTATTGGCTGTTGCCTGATATCCCCGGTGTGGCTGCGCTTGATGTGCATGTTGACAAGGTGCCTACCTGTCTATTACCCACTACCTCGTCCATACTGGCTTTAGGAGACAGTTGGTCGTTGCTGGAGGGGACGGAGTGCACGGTCCTTGCGGACGTGTTAGGATCAAAGAGTGGTTCCATGCACTCAGTGTGGAGCGGACTACGGTCCAGCCACCGCCTTGTGTGCGCTTGATTCTCAAATACAGCGTGTTTGTTTGCCTGTGAAGGAGTGTGGACCGGTTCCGTTGATGAAACCTGGCTCCCATCCACATGCCTCCCGGTCTTATTCCTTCGGGTTTACACTGGATATGGGGTATGTGATTGGAGCTGTGGGTGGTGCAGCGCAAGCCATCCACGGTCCCTCTGTAGGCGCAGGCGTCCTGTGGCTGGTGGAAGTCTCACAATACTACCGCCATTGGTTATGATTTCGTGGCATATCTAATAGCGTTTCCGACCAGGTTTGCTCACTATCCTTTGGCCCCAACCGAAGTCTGGAACGCCCTGTAGCCAGCTGCAATGTCAGCGCTATGACACCCCATACCCGGATGCTGTTGGCCACCTTTACTTCGCTTCCACTCAAAGCCGGCGTGTGCATAGAAAACAGCGGAGCAAGTGTTTAGCAAGCCTACGGATGATGGTGTCCGAGCCACCGGAGCGCACGCAAGGAAATTATGCAGTTCAGTGGTCGGCTGAGTCTGTCTGATTTTAAAATCCGACGTGAAATGTCAGCATTGCTAATACGATGCTACCAACCTACACTGGCGTTGTTTCGGAGGCAGCGGTGATCAAAAACCGACAGACTCTGGACATCGCCTACTAGAACGGGCCAAATCTTGCAGCCGGCGGGATGCTGAATAGTAATTGTTAAATCATCCGCAGTCTGACAGTTTGGAAAAGCGGATGTAAGACGTCGATGTGCAGAGTGGAGTGTAGCTCACCTGCTTCTATATAACGGACCTGGATAACATCCCCCATATGCTTTTATGTAGGTTCGTCGCAGTTAAACACAGGCAGACCACCACGGCACATCCAGGAAAGCGCTATACGGCCGTTTCGTCCTATTAGGACTCGTCAGTAGCGCGCACCCGCCGAATCCTGCCGGATTGGAACCCACTACCTTACGAGTTAGCGACTTTTGTCACTGAGCCATGGGCGACGACAGCGGACCGCAATGATTGATATCTAACTGCGATATAGCTGGGCTCATCCTCCACTGTCTTGCATGTTATGAATGTGCAATAGGAGGAAACGGCCGTCTAGCGCTTTCCTGGATTTGTGGTGGCTGTCTGCCTGTGTCTAACTACGACGAACCTTCACAAAAACCTAATAAATTCCCCTACTACTTACAAGTCCCCCATATATATTCACACTCAATGCTTATAGAGTTAGCAGATCACTAAAGGGATATAAATTGTTCTCATTTTTCTCAGCAGGTATCCTCGGCGAGTAAACTGATTATAGCACGCGAATAGGACACTTTCGAGTGGGCGGCTATTGAGAATACCTGTGATCCTGGATGTGGATGGGCAAGATGTGTCATTCTCCGGACTAGGCGGTTCGTTCGCAGTTATCCTTTTCCAAGACCATAAGGGACAAAAACGTCCGCAAGCACGTGAATTCATCGAGGCTTAAGAAATTTTACTCATTAAGTTCTCGTACCTAGAGATCGCACAAGAGGCGCTCTCAACCAGGCGACCAACTTACGTCAGATCAGCCAGACGACGATCCTCACGCAGCAAATCAATAAGCAATCCGAAACCTAGGATGTGGTCCCGGGCCAAAGCAAGATGATTCTCTGATGATGTCACCTTGATTCTTACGAGACGTCTACAGACAAACGGCTAAGCTCGGAGAACGACTCAATGTTCTTACTTTATCTGGCTATTTGAGATCCAGCGTACATGCCCCTAGGTGATGAGCAAGAGGTCAAAACCTGATACACCCACTAACGCTGCACAACCGGATCGAGCTGGCACACGAGTGTTTGCTTATGTCCATCACCTGACTACATTGCTGAGCAACGGTGTGTCTAGTGCACATCGCTCGGTCTCGGCATACTGCGTATAAAGATGCGGAAAATTTGCGTCAGGCTAAGGATTGCATTCTCTAGGACAAGATCAACAACAACAGCAGTACATCAGTCATTTGAACTGATGCTTCCCTACCATACAACCATGGTGACCTACGAAACGTAGAATAATATGAGGGGGAGAAGGGGACCTAGTGCAAAAGCTTAATGCCCTAAGCAAACATTCAGTCAAGGCGCCTACACTTTGTGCCAACAACGTACTGTCACAAACAGTTGGATATCGTGCAAAGACAAGGCGGCATCAGCGAGATAGCCTTGCGGCTTTCACTGCCCCGCTTCATAACCAGCCATTACGACACGAAACACAGTCCCACTAGAAGAGGGTAGCAGATACGCCACTGGTGCCGACTGCGAACCATGTTCTGTACTGTCTCGAGCCAAGCACAAGGTGGGTCACGTGGACTGGAAGGACGAGACGGACCAAAGTTATCAAGTTCTGTTGTCCGTGACTTCATTTCCCGCTGCCAAGTTGACTTTTGTCCACCTCCTTGGTAAGCGGTGACCGAGCATACGCAGTAATTTCCCAATCCAATGCAACTTATTCAGCGCTATCCGAAGTCTTAAGGAACTAGCATTATTATCACTGACTAGCGCTCGCCTACGCATATTATTGCGGACAGGAAAACATGAAATCCAATGAGATAAGAAAAAAACTATTATAATCTGGGGGTTGGCTTTACACAAATAAGGAGAATGCCTATGGTGTTGATTGGCATGTTTACTATAATGTACAGAAGGGCAATGGAGAATTGTGACCGTTGCGTAATGAGCCGCCGTAGATCGTCTTTGCGTTGTTCTCATCACTGCTCTCCGAGCGGCTGTGAAACTGGCAGCAGCGCTTTGTAGTAAACATGGATGGGACAGATAATGCCGGATGGGATAGACCGAGGGAGAGGGAGTGTAATCAAGACATCACAGACGAAGTACTATAGTTGAAGGTTACGAATGGCCCAGATGAAGCTGTTTGGAAGGGAATGGGGTAATTCGAAGTGTTCTTGAATGTTCCATGGAGACTATGATCGAATGCACTCGTTGGAGAACAACACTTCCTCTCCATCGGAGTCAACGCTGTGTCCAGTGTGCTCCAGAAGATTTTGACTGTCCAATTCGTGAGCGGAGCGTCTGGCAGCGCTTTCGCGCTTAGTGAAGCCGATGTGGAGGTTTTTCTTCGGTGGCTTTGTCTGTGGTTTCTGACCATGAAGAGTGGTTGACATTGTTAATTCTCGGCTTTGTAACACACGGACCTGGTAAAAGTGTGAATGACAAAGGGCGTTAAAAGATTGGTGGTAACGCACCGTTCCAATGAAATTCATCTAAGTGCACTGATGTGAGATGATGACAGGTGGGTTTGATGTTGCCTCGGAAAACAATATCTGCCGTGGTCGGGTACAGTTTCCTCGATCATACTATAACAATTTGAAAAAGAAGCGCTGTACACTGGAGCTAGGAATACGAAACCTTCGCAATTGAGGCAATGAAAACGAGCAGATACATTTAACACACGTCTGCTCACATGCGTAGCGACATCCAGCGTATAGATGTAAACGTTCCAGGACGTGGTGGGTTTTCGCCTGACAAGCGTTCTTATAAAAAGCCGCAAATGTCTTCAACATGGCAAGAAAAAACAGCGTTTTAACAGAATAATCTCGTAAGATATGCTCCGAAGGAACAATTAACAGTGAGCTGCAACATGCCTCAACAACTAAGAGAGAATAGGTATCCCGAGAGGTTCAAATAAAAAATCAATCGAGAAAAGTAAGGCCGTTCCGAAGAAGGTGTTCATCACGCTGCTATTCAAAGGGGACCAAAATGATAGGCGATTTCGATATCGTCTTCGCCAATCCGCTATTTTGGGCCGAGATGGTCCTACTTTACCGCGTTATAAGGTTGTTCTGCAAATCCGACTTGGACAGGCCAGGCTCTACAATTACCGCCTCATTCATTGTACCTGCGGTAGCAAATACGTGTGCCGAACTGAGGCTGTCCAGAAGGATTGCAGAACATGTCCCACGTAACCTGGTGGCAAATGGCCCTAAGCTGCTAGCAAGCTCTATCGGCCAGAATACACTCGATTTCCTCACGGGAATCGTTCACGATCCCGTCAGAACACTGCTCATCTGCTTTAATTTGCAGAAGCTTCAGCGATTCGTCGTCTGAAACCTAACTTATATAGGCAGACGGAGTTTGTGACTACCCTCACCTTGCCCTGTTGAGGTTTATTTAAACAGAACGATTTCTCGCATTGTCTTACCGTTGTGTGTGCGGCATACTGATTCCATTGAGTGTTTGCACACAGCTGATGAGAAGTCGTGAAATACTTGAATTCAGATTATTCTGTTGAAATGTTGTTTTTTTGTGAAGGGAAAATCCTGTATGAAAATGCTACAAATGTCTGTTTAGCAACATTGCGATGTGACTCGCTACCAAAATAAAGTCATTGCCCACTGCTTCACACTGGCAACGATTTCATTATCTGAGGTTCATGACCACAACGGTATATGCACAAATGAATTCTTGCAACTGTTTATAACCCCGGAACCTCAACCTCTCGTCCAGCATTGCTTAACAAGTATCTTCTCGGTTTCCTATGCCCACGGAAAAATTGGAGCTCACTTTCCGGAACCATACGAAACCGCCAACCAGATTTTCCATAACAATAACACTTATAGATTCTATTGCGTTTCTGCGCCACATATTTCTGACGCCGGTGAACATGTCCATCATTTTTGCATCATTCCTATGCGAAAAATATGAACAATTTTTCGAGCTACGTATTTCTACCTCAACCGCTTGATGTACATACACATACAGTGTTCCTGTAGTTCTGTCAACTGCTTGATCATGCCTGTACTGGTATGTCTCGTTTCATCGAGAATAAAACTATTAAAGTCAAAGAGGTAAGGAATGGGTATAACGAAAGATAATGTTGCTACTGCATAATGCTGTCGTATTGTAAACCGGAAACACGTATGGAATATTAGTCACAGATACGTTCTCAATATAGGGTCCCACTGATAACCTGTGTATAGGTTGCAAGGCCCTATGATGTCCTCCATAACATGAGTGAACTCAAGATGAGCACAATACACGTCCAAATAGAAGTGGTAAAATGGAACTACTCACTGAGAGGCCTTTTTTATAGTGTACCTCGTCGTTAAGCACGTTACCCAAGTTACTAAGTAAGCCAAATTGGGCAGTTTACTGATGTTCACTTCGTGCGTTGGTTATCCGAGTTGTATACAACAAGTGTGTTCATTGGATGCTGCGGTGGGAGGTGAACTCCACCCGTGATTCAGTTGGTGGGGACTGACGTTCGACGTTAGAAAATGGCAAAGTTTATTAATACCGGGGCATTATAGACCGTCTCCCGAGCCAGCGTTTCAAACAATGCTCATGGGAAATGCCACTCAGTACGACAGTATCATTAGTGTATCGAAAATCGACGGACTTTACATCCACCGGATACAGTATTCGAAGCATCAGGAAGCCCATGTTCAGTGGCAGTGAAGATGAAGAAATAATCGTGACGATCGGATACCGAACAGTGGCCTGAAATATCGGGCCTGTCAGATGGAAACTAATGATTCGGATAGGGAACACCGGAGAGAACTAACGTCGTTGTGGGTCTGCTAATGTTCGACATTTGATGAAACGTGATGTGACGACCGATACATCCAAAATTTACTAGCAATCCAGCCAATAGTGCTAGGTTCCGTTCATCGTAAAGTTTGGCACACGTTAGGAACAACAGACACCGCGGGGCAAGTCCGCTAAAAATTGTCATTCACTACCAGTTTATTTTTGTTCGCAGTTGATGGTGGCCAAGAGGGACTTCCCCAACGCTTAAAATGATTGAGAAAAAAAGAAAGATGCATCGATAGTATGCCGGCCGGCCTGTCGCACCGACGTTTCCGTCACGCTACCGTCGACAGTCGCGCATGGACTGGGTAAACCGCGAGTTCACCCGCACACGCGAGGATTCGAACCGTTGACCTTTGGATCACAAGGGCAGACGTCATCCTTTCGGACGCCGGTCTGACTGGAAACAAAAGGCTGGCTCCAATTCATACCGTTGTTATTTGTGGGGTGGTGTATCAAGGCGTCAGGGTCGCTTACTTCGTTGTTGCGATGAAGCGAACGGAAATCGAGAAGGGGTAACAAACCCAATTTAAGATGGAAAGAAGGTAATTCAGCCATTGGATGAGAATTCTAGCGGTCGGTGATGGATGAGACCTAGAAAGCCATTAAAACCGTTACTGCGCAGAGGCTCCAATATGGCAGACCGATCCACAAGGTCGTATTTGGGGAGAAGGCACGCGTGGGTGCGGTCGGTTTCCTCATGTCATCAAGGCAGGCGGAGGTAGCCAATGAGAAAGTTGCCCAATCGGCATGGATGATCATCATCATAGACAACAGCCCATCAAGACTGGACAGGTGATTCGTCATGGTAAAGCTACAAGTGAGGGGCATCCGTGTAAGGAGGACCTAGCGTAAAACGCATGATCAAGGAGCCTACACTCTATCAATACCACACGACCACAAGCAAGTGGCTATGCGAAGACAAAGCAGTATTAGCGAAGTAGCCTCTTTGCGGTTTCCACCATTACTGCAAGAGGAACTCGGCACCAAACGTTTTGGATTAGGTTTAACTAGGGGGTAGCAGCAGACATGCTGGTAGTGCATGTTGCGATCCATGTTCCGAAAGGTCTACAGCCAAGAAGGGGGCAGATAAGTGGACCCCAGCCGAGGGGGGAGCGAGATCGACCAGCTGCTGCTGCACTAACAATTACTATGCAAAGCCTTACCCCACCCAGCATCTGGTAAACTAAATTGAGCCTCTTCCCAGCGGGAAATAATCAGTGCGCTTCAGAACCAACGTAGCTTATCCAGTTACGTTTGTGCATCTAACAAACCGATCTGATCATCGTTACGTAACACGGGTATGCGCACCTCTTCCTTGCAAACAAGACGATTGCAGTCGATACCATCGATATCGCGCGGTTGATGAAGCTGAAAAACCTCGGCGCCTGAAATTCCCCGGCTTAAATATCCAAGCTTCGTTACCTTGAAGGAAAAGGGACCCCAGTGTAGACACTTATGCACGTCCTTTGAATCCAAGCGAAATCCATTAGGTGTCGCAGATTAATGAAGGCTTCTGCAGTGATCCCACGCCTATCACTGCGAATGTAACCTCCGATACAGGTGAGCTGGTCAATCATTTCCAAATCCTTGACGTCAGGAATCAAGAGACTACCAAATGGTCGGTGGTTGTGTAATAGCAATTTACACTTCAGGTATGCAGAGAACAAGTCGCTGAATGGGGCTATTTCATTACTAATCCAAGGTTGATTATGCCGCCTCGCGACTGTCAAACGGCAGAACAATTTCGTGCATATAATCCAGTTTTCCCCTGAGCAGCACCTGCATCGTGGGACGATGCAAGAAAATTACAATATGTTCGATATCATCATCAGTACACCAGAGCTAATGGTAAGAAACACACCTCAGCTGGTGTGCCGCAATACAAATAGGATAATATCAAATGTTACAGGATACAGTTACGGAGCTAGCATAGCTCCACGAAACTTGCGCAGATCTCGCCGGGCTCACGCAGATATGCAGTCACTATGCGGCAACTCAGTCTGCGCTAGTCACAACCGAGCCGTCCTCAGGACATAGATGACGTCACAAAAACCGACAGCTCGTAGCCTTAAGGATCACAAGCCTGTGGTAATCCGAGTGCGCGGGTTCAAGGCTGCGTAGGGACTGGGCAACCCTCACAGTATCCTTAGGTCACGTGCAGCTGGTGGTGGTTGCGTGGCAGTGAAGCGTCGGCACTGCCTACCGGTGTGTTACTAATACCTCTACTCAGGACAGTGATGCATCTAGTGTGTACGCTGCTGTGAATCCACTGTACTTCTCGTGTTAAGCCGCAGTGAACAACCTGAGCTTTTCGGTTGCTGCAGCAGTCACCGCACAAGCACACAATTACACTGAGAATTCCTCAAAACACCACCACTTACCGACAACTCATACTTTGCCAACATCCACTTTTCTCTGTCGTTTATGCTGTACACCGCGGTTCTGTTGAGTTATAAAAACGAAGGTGCGGAAAGTATGCTTCGCCTTGGTTAAGTCAGTAAAAATACCAGTCTCATTCGGATCTTAGTGCAGTTGTGCTAGATTACGCGTGATTCGTCTCAGCTGGCGTGTACGTCTGGCGGCTAGGTCTCGTTAGTCCGTAACGTTGGGAATTCGAGTGGCTACTCTGCACGCATGTGGTACTAACCATGAAGAACGTACGTCCGTTGAAACAAAACCAAAAAAGTAACATAATGCTAAATGCCAGATTACCCATTGGGTGGGAGATTGCGGTTGAAGGGGCACCCTAAAGAGAAGGGGGACGGACAATAAAAAACCACGACACAAACGCCAAGTGTATCCAACCAAACGTTAATCATTCTTTGGACTCTCGCCAGGCAATCGGGAGACAACAACGGACGCCATCCGTGAGGGTTTTCATTACTCTTGACCGAATCATCGCTTAACCTCCTCTTTTTCCACCCATATCCCGGTGGCGCGGCAGTTCGTGTGCTGGCATGCACAACACGTGACTCAACCATCGGAGCCTGGTGCGTGATATTATGATGCTGAGCGGTTCACTCCATCTTTCTGCACCAAATACACGACGCTGAACACCGTCATTCCTCATACGGAGTTCCAACCAAACACAAGCTAGGCTACGAAGGCACCGGGGATCGAACGTAACTATCCTCTTTACGTCTGCCGATCTAATGGACCAGGCTTCGCAACCGTACATGAGGATTTAAACAGATGGCTACGTTGTAAACTCTCCCCTTCAGAGCGAGAGTGATGACGCGTCGGTGCCACGCATGGCTGGGATTGGCAAAAGCGGCCACAGCTTTCACCATACGGTTCTTGATCTCATCTCCAATCCTGAGGGCGCTAGTACAGGTGCCCAGGTACTTGAATTCCTGAACGACTCCTAGCTGATCACCATCGATGGTCAGCGCAGGAGTGGGCAGCTGCCACTTTTGGAGAAAAATTGCATTTGGAGGGCGCAAAACATAGTCTGAAATGACTGACAACCAATGCTAATCTGTCCGGTGCTGCTTGGCACGTTTGGGAGCTGTCACGAATTAAGGCAATGTCGTCGACATACTCCAAATCAAGAAGCCGCTCACCAGGAAGCAGCACTACACCTTGTAGGTCGTGACCAACGAACGCCCGAGGCGGACGATCTTTGGACTGGTATCGCCTTGGGAAAACCGTGTTGCTTTGCGCAGTATTTGAATTCCATAACAAGTCTCAGCCTCCCTCTTGCCCCTTATCAATGAGGGACAACTATGGATGGTTGACAGCGAAACGCCGGTATTACCTACTGAAATCGGTGATAACGTAACACTAAGAATGAACTATGCTAGTCGATATCCCGGGTAATGAGGACGAGGTGTTGCAGCGTTCGTAACTTAACTGATGCGAAATTCGACTTCTCTATCAAAATGTTGCACAAATGGCAACTGCATCGACCAATCAGGCTCCGAACACACACGAGGCCAGTGACCACAAGAACTGTTGGGAAACACACTTGTGCAGGTGTTTTGCCAATGATACTGATCTTCCAACCGTGTGCAAATCGCATTTAAGCATGTCAGTGACCGATAGAGTAGTGTCCATCCTGCTAGGGTCAATATGATTTGAAACTTTACAGAGGTAGAGCCACCTAGTAATTTTCGAGGCGCAAGTGATGCAAGGGCAGAAGAAACGGGACCATCAAAGGTCCCATTGATGTGTTGAAAAGATAATTATCGATACCTGCATAAATCCGTGGGATAAGAGGTGTCTAGGGGAAGCGAGCCTCTAGAGCTGTGTGCGGTGATATGCATTACTGATGAGTTCTGTGGTGAACAAAACTTGCCTGGCTGCGATCCAAACCAGAGTTCTTCAATAGCTCCACATATTCCGGACAGACTAAGGAAGCTTCTGTTGGCTTGGTCCATCGTCGCAGGAGCAGAGAGAGGCATATCACAGAGACAGATGATGCAGCCATCGCCGCTGAGGCCATCCAAGGAGATAATTCGATCCCGAGTGGCAGCAAGCAACCTGGATAAATAAGCGTCAAAGTCATCGACCCAAAATTCGCGCAGGTCAATTTTTATGATGAGGCACCGTGGTGCTCTGCGTATTGAAAGCAGAAATGATCCATGTAATAATACGTGAGAAAACATCTCAGAGCTTGATGAAGAAAGACAAAAGTGACTGAAACCGGTAAGTTGTTTATATCCAACGACTACACAATGCCGGAAGATGGTGTGTCACAGCTGCTGAATAAGACGGTCCATAAAAGGCTATAATGAGCTGATTCAACCATGGCATTTCGATGCTGTATTGGGTTTAAATAGTGGGCCTTTCACAGTGGTGAGCAGTACATTAGTGATCGTTATCAGGTCAGTTTTGGCAGGTGTGCGAACTATTAGTGTGAAGCGAACAGCAGCAACTTAGTGGGCAACGGGCACCCTCCTATGCTTTGTGTCAGTAGGGCTGAGATCACAAGCGTATTCCGCGATTAGCTGGAATTTAAGAGAGTGGAACTATGTGCCTCATCCTAACCTGAAGTGACTTTTAGTCATCGACCGATTCGATACGAATAGCAATGAAAGGGTACTGTGCGAGAGTAAAATCAATGGGAAATCACGGGACGCACTACGCACCTATCCAAATCTTGATTCTTCAAATAGGAATGATCCGGGCGAAGTTCCAACTGGAAAACTTGCCTGATGGTCAAAGCAATCGGGTTTCATGTTAGAGTGTCGTCTGGATTATGTCTGACTGAAGAGTTCAAATTGAATGTCGCAATCTCAATAGTACCGTGTGCTTCATAATCCATGGATGAATTCCCTTAACCATTGTCAGAAGCGGTTGGCAGTGGGACTCGGTAATCCTGTGTCAGCTAATAATCAAAGAGTCGTTGATTCAAGACCCAGCCCCGGTTATGTCTGTTTGAGGAGTTCAAGTAAGATTGGAACTGTTCGTGGGGTGCACGGTTCCAGAGATCCAAGTAACTAAGGGTCCAGACACACAAAGGAAAATGGACAGGTACAATACATGATTGCCTTTCCATTCCCGCCTGCGGATGCAGTTGGCAAAGTTTATGGTAAGGTCATATCTGGGTCAATGAGCAGCATGTGACGGATAGGCTTCAATCAGGCGAAACAGCTACAAGAGTAGCGTCTTAATCGAAGATTGATCCATTTAATCCCATGCTTCGTGGTTTGTTGACACACTGCTAACCTATACGACAACGAAAAGACCAATCTTTTGGTGCACATTGTCATCATTCGAGTTCATGCCAAGAACTGTGTCAGACATCCCGGTGGTGTTTTCGTTCATAGCTTGACAGGGGGTTGCGCGGAGCTTACCTGCAGCGATCGGGATTGCGAGCATGTTGTAAATAGTGGCTGCGATGAAGTTCCAGCGTATACGGCGAACGGTTGCCTTTGACAAATCCATCGCTCCGATCACGTCCACAAGGGAATCGCGGACCAGAACTACATCGGCAGCCTCGACTGCCACGTCAGCGCCACAACCGATTGCTATGCCGACGTCAGCCTGAGCAAGAGATGGACTGTCGTTGACACCGTCACCAACCATAGCAACGTACTGTCGTTTGACCCGAGCGTTCATCTCCATTTTCCTGCGGCGAACTCGCCTTTGCTCGCGCTCCAATCGGCGTCGACGTAGTGCAGAGCGTTTTTTCCACAGCCACTCTGATGAGCCCGCAGATCCGAGACCTTGAAATTCACAACAGGAGCGTGATCCAAGACAACAGGTGGGTAGTTGGACGGTTCGCTCGGCGTCACCTGATTTCAGACCGGCCAGTTCGAGCTCTGCGCTGTTTGCCATAAGGTCGTCGTTGGAAAAATCGGCTGAAGGAAAAAGTAAGTAAACGACTAGAATTATGTGAGAACAGAAAGCCTTGAAGACCGCTAATGAGAACGATTTAAGTGAGACATACCTCACAGAGTCGCTCGAGACAATGAGCAGAAAGCTGTTTATGTAGAGATAGAAAAATCTGCTACAAAACAGAAAGATCCTCGCTTCAGTAACATTCCCCACATTATTTTGTTGCCTTGTTACACGTAACAGAGCTGAGTAAAGGAACTGATGTTAGAGTTGTCAGACGATGTCCGAAACGCAACACTGTATACAGTCCAACCTGCTATGGTGACCAACCAAAAATAGCCCCAACTTTTTCTCCTATGAGTAATGTCCGTATTCATGAACTTGTCAAATGGCGACCACTTTTGTTGGTCCCTTGAGTGGTCGCCTTAGACAGGTTCGACTGTATTACCAAACATAAGCGGATAATTTTTAGACAGTTTCATTTCTGTAGAAGGGAGGTCGGTTTACAAAAAGGTTGTACGCAATTTGAAAAAGTAACGTGTAAAATCCACTTATGGATTTACTGCACACCTCTGCTCCTATCTCTCCTTAGCACCATCCGCTAGTGACGGACGGTATTCCAGAGGGGGTTTGAAGTACCTCATTTTTCATATGGTGTGTACGCAGCATTGCAGGGAGCTTACCTATAACTAGACACGTTCTTTTTGTGACGAAAACTCGCGGTATATTGCACATTTGACGTTCGCGACAGATGGCAGTGACAGGAAGATACAGTTATATACGGGATCAAATACCATCACACACACAATAACATGGAAAAATACATGACGGAAAAGCTCTTACTGTAGAGAAACAATTTCGTTTCTCTTTTTGCTGGTTTTTTGGGGTCGGACAATATGGGGATTTACGACTTTGGACAAATTTGTTATACCGTCGGCCTATCCATGGACGAGTTTGTATTCGGTACTATACGGTAGGTGTTTGTGAATCAAAGTGGGCTATGGAATAAGGAAGATAGAATCCAAAGCAACTCAGGCTTACACGAGTGATTCAAACAATAAAGAAAGGGCTGTGTAGTGATTCTAGCAACTATTTTGTGTACCCTCGGAGGCGTAAAATGTACCCACTAGAGATAGGTCGAGCTACAAGTCTAATTTGCTTTCGCTGAGCACCAAGATGGCGCTCGTTCTGCCAGAGGGCGTGAGAGCATCGGAATAAGTCCTGAAGAAAGAAGACCAGATAACTGCGAAAAGGAGGCACTAAGTAAACTTGTCCAAAGTTTGTCCTGTTGGCTAGGCGACAGGGGATGGGAGCCTTTGGATAAACGCTATTCAATTCAAACCAACAATATGACCAATCACTAGGTACATTCGCTGTATTGTGTCGTTCGCTGGGTCCAACGTGACGAAAGAAAACCGAAATGGGACAATCTGCTTGGCACCGTCAGACTTTTTGCAAGATGGCTGAATGCCAATGGGTGGCTTAGTTGGTACCCTAAGCATCATAAAATACTCGGGAAAAGTACTTCTATATCGGAGGGTATCCATTTCCATGTACAGGCTAAAAACGAATGCTGCTATGTAAAAGTCAACCTCCACCATAACCGCATCAAAATGCACAGTTGATTGGCTAGATAAACCCTAATGTACCAAACTAGGTGAGAGCCAGATTGGGCGAGCAACGTCCCAAGTAACAAGAACCATATCTATTTACAAATGAAGTAGTATGACAACCACTTTGTGGCTGAATTGCTAGGCACTGATTAGTGAGCGAAAAACATCTCTGTTCAAAATTGTACGCTCCATAGTCCAGAGCCCGCGTAAAGCCCTGTTTCAAGGTGAGAAGTGGTGTGGATCAACACTGTTGTACTTCTCTTTCCCTCTTCAGATCTTCGACCAGTAGATTGGGTTGTTTAAACTAACGGCTCCACGAAACAGCTGACTGATGAGACAGCTTTCCCAAAGGTGACATTGGTGAAGGACGATGGACGCTATAGAATGCGTGCGAGGTGCTGTTCCCGACCAAATCTTGCAATTCCAGACGAAGCACTGAGTATTGCACCACTACAAGCTAGTAGTTATACCACAGGAAAGGCTAATCCTGTATCTGTGAGGCACGTGGGATTAAACTTAGCGAGTTACACCTATGGTATAGGTCATCTAAACGAAATCAAAGCGTGAAAGGCTATAGTGGCTGCATGGGTCTGAAACATGGTCACTTCACAGTGAAAACTGTCCGTCTTTGGTCACCGACGTTTGCGGAGTTCTGCCCATACGGGAGCCTGATGAACAACGTTTAAGACTGCCAACTGGCATTTCTAAAGAAACCCTTTCTGTTACTACCCTGAGATGTGTGTTATGATTCTCTTTTGCCCATTGACCGCCTACCCCGGCGTGCATCCTAAGCCATCGCTGCACCTAACTGGGTAAAACCCCTGGCTGACCAGTCGATGACGCAGAGGCATGAAGGCGCCGGTTGAGCCCTTTGGTCCGGTTGCTACGTATGCTGTCTTCGTAGATGGCGGCTTCAGAATGGGCGATATCAGCGGTTGGACACTGTATTCACAATGCTCCTGCATTCTGTCCTTCAAATCCAAATGTTAGTATTCTAACCAAATTAGTGTTAAATATTTAGTAATTTGAATAAAGCCGGAAGAAGACGAACATTTCGTATTGTCTCTACTATGCACTGAGAACATCGGTTTCTATTTCTAAAACGTTCCTTATCACCAGATAGCTGGGGTGGCAATGGGTAGTCTGTTGGGACCAGTCCTAGCAGATTTTTCATATTGATGATTAAAACGAAGTTGAATGTAGAAATATCGCTTCTTTCCTACTATAAGCGGTATGTGGGTGATATTTTTGTGTTTCGCTCATCAGAAAAGCACATCGCGCGTCTGACCGATCTTAAATAAATAAATAAATAAATAAATTGTGTATTCTCGACTAAGCGAGGCACGCCTGCGCAGGCATGATCATGTTAAGAGCACAAAATGTGATCAGTTAATGTACAATGGAACAATGGGATTGTTGCATATGTTTATATATGAATGTATGTAAATTTGCATGAAGGCGCGTTTAGCTTTGTTTATGGGATTGGTAAATGTCTCCTGTCATTTTGCTTGAATGTGTTTGAAGGTGTCGCCAGTACTTGCTATCTGTGGACTTGAAGAGATTGTTCGGATAAGCAATGGGTGACTTTAGTTAGTGGCGAGTCACAACCGCCACGTCACAGTGTTGTTAAACGGACATATGTGGCTTTTTATAGGGAGAACGCTTTGCCAGGCGAAAACCCACCACGTCCTGGAACACTGCCGCCGAACTATTTGCTGAAGGGGGGGGGGGTAAACCCGAATCACCCAGCTGGCACCACGAGGAGGTTGTTCGGCTAGTAAGTAACCAGCGAAATAGAGAAAAGCCTCTCATGTCTGGACGTGTTGATTCGCCGAAGAGCAGATGGGTCTACCAAAAGTGAGGTTTACCGAAAGTCGACATGGTCAGGACAGTACCTGTACTTTACCAGATTTTCCCCAATTCGGCACAAGCGGACATTAGTCAAGACACTATTCAACCGTGCAAGAAAAATATGCACCACCAACAGCTTACATGAGATAAACTCGCTCAAGGATACGTTGTTCAAAAATGGCTATATGAGAAGATTCATCGATAAACATAGTCAGGCGAGAATGCCGGGACAAGCTTCGACAGCCGCTAAAAAGGTCTACATCGAGCTCCCATTTAAGGATGATTTTGCCAACATGAGGACAACAAAGTGCATAATTTCCACAGTCCAGAAGACTTATTTTGCTTCTGGAATCGTTCTTATCAACCGGACTAATCGAATACCTGTTATCCCAATGACGGAAAGACAACCTGTTGGCACAAATTCACATTTTATTTACCAATTTAGCTGTAGTTGTGGTGCACGCTACATCAGCCGTACCAACAGAGCATTGAACCCCAGAATAAGGGAACATGTACCTACAGAGCTGCAGCGTCAAATCACTCAGTCGTTGGTTACTCACACCATCTGTTCACGTAGGCCACCTGATTCATTCATAATTAGGCCACTTGCCATCCGTTTGATCCGACCACAATGTTTACAACCGTGTTAAGACATGATAGCACCTGCATCCTACGTTTCGTGGAGGCAGCCGCGATCAGCGGTATCAAACCCGCACTTTTTGTGCAGAAGCAGCTGTTCGTAAGAATACGGCTTCCCTGGATGTAGGAGTGTCACGCCTGCCCTCCACCCTGTTCTAACTTGTTCCGGTCTCATCCCACTTGTCGTCTTATATATTTTCATGTTTTTGTGTTGGCACTGAAGAGACAATACGAAATGTTGATATCTACCAGTGTTCGTCTTCTTACGGATTTATTCAAATTACTAAAGGGATCTAATCGTTTCAAAAGATATTTGGTAGTCTTAATAAAACAGAAAAACCCATTATAGTGACTGAAGTGAATATTGAGTAGTCAGGACCAAGGTAAATTAACCGGTTTCAATGCTATCTAATCGTTCGTAACCAGACCGAACTTTAACGTGGTGCGATAGTTTGCGTGCCTCAATGGTCCATGGAGCTATGCTAGTTGGTGCTTTTCGCACCTTCAGAGTCACTCATACCAGATTGGTTAGAGGCCAAGCAAACTCAGTCTCCTAGCCCTCCATGGAGCACTTGCCCGGACAATAGACCCTATCGATCGATATTTGCTGCTTATCGGAAACCTGCACCATGCTTAACCTGCGATCTCCTACTGGTGGCCCTTTCTCATTGCGCTTGTCCGGAGATGGCGCAGCTTCAAATACCGGTCAAGCTGATGTGGGCATTGTTTTGAGCCGCCGGGCTGAAGCTGCCCTGATCGAATGGAACCCAGTCAACAGCCGCATGTGCGGCATCAGATTGGATGGATCGTTCAAAGGTCCGAAGTCGCGCGCAGACAAACGCGCGGTGCGGTCTACGCCCCCACAAACTGTAGCGCTGACTCGGTAAAGAATAAATTCTACCGCCAATTGAACGAGCTCCTTCGTCTCAGAAATAGTCCGGATACTGCGGTGCTTCCTGGCGATCCAAGTTGGAAATTGTCCACCGATAAGCTTCATCTTGGCGGCCAACACGGTGCTGGCCCCAGTAATGATAACGGTGAGCGGTTGTTGCTCCTGTGTGAAGATGCTCGTCTAGATCACAAAAGCAATAAATTCCGACACAGCACCCGCAGAAAAGGACATGGAGGCCACCAGTCATGGACGCAAATCGATCACATCGCGATCAGTTACTGCTGGAAAGGTTGTGTCCAAAAATTTCGCTCGCTTTGGAGCACCAACGTGGACTCCGATCACGCTCTTGTGTGTGCTGATCTGCGGATGCGTTTTAGCGGATGTCCGCAACGACGCTGTGAGCGCGTAGTCCCAGCCAACCCAGGTGTTCTGGATACGAAGCAAAGTACACTGGCATCCGAGGTGAGTAGAAGCCCAGCGAACAGTGAAAGATCACTAGTAGCCCGATGTTATTATCAGTAAGCATGTTTTCATGTGGAAAAATATTGTCAACTTGGACATTAGGTCTCTATACAGTCACCAGAACTTTTAGTTGCTCACCGACGTGTTCTGGCTGGAAGCGAATACAATGAGACTTGCAGAGATCTCAGGGCGAAACTACATGATAGTCTGAAGACACCACGAAACTTGTTCGTCTCATCGTACGCCGGAGATCGGAACATCCACCATGATAACTTATTCCGTGTGATACGAGAAACGGGCAGCAGGAGACCTGTTGGTAGCCAGACCATAAGCGACGAGAGTGAACAACAAATCCACAACTTGTCAAAATGCTTGGGGCGTTAGGCCGAACATTGAAAAGTAGTTTAATCAGCTTGCGTTATCACATTCGTTTTCAGGCATTTATTGCTTTTCTCCATGGACCATTTCCCTATACCCGACCTCGCACAGAAATCGAACGTGAGATCGGTCTGTTGAAATTGAGTAAGATCGCAAAGGCAGACAGACTTTCCCAGCCCACTTCAAATTCAGGGGAACCTGCTCTTGTAAGTGATTTCAATAATTTACTAGTGAAATTATTGGAGTTGGAGTCTCTCCGTTGTTGGAACATGGCTATATTTATTGGGGACCCAATGTAGTCGTATTTCTCGACACCAAGATGTCTTCAGTTCGGTAGATCGATGTGCATTTTGGAATTGTCTGCTTAGGAAAGGTGTGCCCGAAAAAAAGTAAACATCAGAGCGCTTTAGGCGCATAGTTCGGACAGTGGTGGTTCATGGTGAACTGTCGACGCCATTCAATATATCCAATGGTGTAAGGCAAGGTTGCCCGCTATCATCTTCCCTGTTTAACTTCACTACTGACGAGGTCAAGGAAACGGCGTTCGATGGATACGACCTACAACGCACAGAGTTGCTTGAGGCGCTTTTGCCAATCTCCGCCACCTATGGCCACGGCGCTACATCACTCTCGCTCTGAAGAGCAGTCGTCTGTTCAACCCTCTTGTACGGTTATGAAATCTGGTCGATTAAATGGGTATATGTAAATAGGCTAATTACGTTCGACCACTGGTGCCTTTGCAAGCTAGCTCACATCTGCTAAGAACACCGCGTGGGGAATGAACATGTTTGGCGTCGTGTATTTGTGTAGGAAGAGCGAGCGAACCGCTCAGCACCCGGCTTCCATGGCTGGGCCACATGTTGCGCATGCCAGCACACTGACTCCTGCATCGTTTGCGCGACCGGGTGTGGATGGAAGAGGAGAAGGGATGCCAAACAATTACTTGGTTAAGAGGAATGAAGACCCTCCCTTTCAACTTGGCACCGGTTGGTGCCGCGCTGTTTCCAAGGACGATGAACACGTTTAGTTGAATACACTTGTTGAAATGTCGGAAATCCGACCTCAATGGATTTTGTGTTGCATTTCTTTATCCACGCCAGTCCCGCTGCCATACCAAATGCATTGTTGAATATTTAGCATATTGTTTTTATTTAATTTTTTAGCCTATAGTGCTTATCTTTCGTATTGCGACACTTTAGCCGAAATGTTTCTCACAGTCAGCTCTCGTGTATTGAAGATGAGATGGTGAATGCTATCCACTTTTGCCACATTCCACTTTTCTTGTACCCTACTTTCATTGTTTCATTACACAAAGTATTGATACTCGCGGTTACCATGCTGACACGAGCCATGGTAAGCGGATGCACCACATCTCGGTACTCGGATTGTAAGTGCTTAACTAAACTGAATAGATAGGATCACAGCTCATCTGAATTGTTCCTATGGTAGGCCGCATAGGCTCCACAGGCTAAAGAAAGCAAGTTTTGTGCCAACTGATTGTAGAACAAAAGAAAACCTTAAAGCGACAAACGCACCTTCAGAGTCGACGTGAACCCCAATGCCATTCAACTTTGTGCTTTCCATGTTCCGAGTAGCAGTCCTGACGGACGCCGCCGACCTGTCACTGTTTCCTAGTCGGGAACTTTTCATCCCAACATTTTGCAATCGTCTGACCACATTGGCCTTGTGCGCAGGTAACACATCGGCGTACACCTCGCGGATACCAACTTGTCTGGCGATAGCGGCTGCTGTACGGCAGTTGTCCCCCGTCAATAGGCTGACGTGCACACCGCGATGCCGTAACGCTGTGACAACTAACGCAGCCTCTGGCTTCACGGGGTCTTCAATGCTCACGAGACCAACCAGTCGGTGGTTCACACCAACCAACACGACCGTTTGGCCACGACCCTCATCAGCGGCTATCAGCGACTCAACGGTGTGCGGTCCGACATCTGCAAACGAGTAGGCCCGACCGTGCTCAGAATAAATGCGGGAAACCATAGAGGGGAATGACACGCCGTGATGAAGCAGCCAATCCCGATTGCCGACATGCACGGTATATGTGCCGCTCTTCCTCACATCTAAAATGAACGGGAAATGGAAAATAAGTTGACGAACTGGGAAATCGTGAAGTGTAATGACGACGATGAGTATCATTAACAAAACAACAACAGCAATACATCAACCACTTTAACTGATACTTCACTGTCATGCAAACATGATGTCTTAAGGAATAAAGAACAATAAGAGGGACATAAGGGGAACTTGCTGGAAAACGTTAATACCCTAAGCAAACATTCAGGGTCACGGCGCCTACACCTTGTGTAGACAACATCTCGTCACAAACAACTGGCTATCGTGCAGATAAGGAGGCACCAGCGAGACAGCTTTCACTGCCACGCGTCATAATCAGCCATTACCTTGCAAATAACAGCACCAAATACTTTAAGTAGGTAATCGGATTAGGAGACGGCAGCAGACGCGCCAATGGTGTCGACTGCGAGCCATGTCCTCTAAAGTCTCGAGCCAAGCACTGGGCAGGTCACGTGGATTCCAGCCTCGAAGGCACCCAGTTTGGGCATCATTGACTTCGTTTCACGCTGTCAAGTCAACTTTTGTCCACCTCGAGTCTTGCGTCACCCTACATCTGGCAGACGAGGTAAGCGATGACCAGGCATACGTGCAGAAGCCAACGCAATTTAGTGCTGTCTGTTGTTCCAAGGAACTAGCTTGGTTATTACTGGCTAGAACGCACATCAACATTGCGGACACGCTGGAGCCACCCGACATCAGCAATGCTCCGTGGAAAACGATGATCAGAAACTTGAATGCGCCTCAGATCTTCAGACCGAAAGGGTCAGACAGTAGGACGGCCCTCACTGTGGCCTTCTATACACAGCCTTTCAGACGGAGGGAAACTCCGTTCTGTCTCCAAAGATGCCGCAGGTTCAAGAAGACAGTTCTGGCTTTTGCAGTGCGTGAACCGACCTCAGTTTCTATGTGCGCATTGTTGCTGACGCAGCTACCAAGGTAAGTGAATCGACCAATCACCTCGAGCTCCTCGTTATCAAGGGTCAAGGGGTCATCAAGTGGCTAGTGGTGCTGCAACACTTTGCACTTTGAAGGTGCGAAGCGCAAACCAAATAATATGACCACTCTAGAAAGGCTATTCAGGGTTGATTGTACCGTCGCGACATCCTTAAACAGCAAGACGATGTTGTTCGCATAATCAAGATCAAGTAGCCTTTCACCAAGCCTACACCTTGAAATTCCGCACGGGAACACTCCATGATGGAGTCCACCACGAAATTGAAGAAAAATGGAGAAATCGGACAACCCTGACGAACGCCACTTGTTGTCGAAAAGCTATCCGACAGGTCAAAGTAGACCCTGATGTGGCCTGTAGTGTTTGAGTACAGAGCACCTAAAATGTTCACATATTTCGTGGGAACACATTTCCGCCAAAGTATTTCGAACAGAATGCATTGATCGACTGAATCGAACGCACCCTTGAAATCGAGGAACACGGCTAGTGTCGGTCTGCGGTATGCGTGGCGCTGCTCTAGCACCTGCCGCAAAGTGAATGTGTGGTCTATACAACCACGTCCTGGGCGGAAACCTGCCTGTTCTTCCCTAATCCGAGATTCCCGTTCCACAGTAAAGCAACGAACGAGAATCGAGGCCAGCATATTTGTCACTACCGGCGTTAGGCTAATATCCCCTGTGGTTAGCACAATCTGCAACTGCCCCTCTTGTATACCGCCACTATAATCGATTCACTCCAGTTAGCTGATATGGTCTCTTCCTTCCAGATAGGTTCGCATAGGGACGTCAGTGTTTTGCAAAGGACCTCACATCCATCCTTAAATAGTGCAGGTGGAAGGGAATCCGGGTGAGTAGCACGAAAGCGATCACCATCGTCACTATACACGTTAGCCAGAGGTGTAAAATACCTCAGCTACTGTGCCGCAATACATAAAAGAAGAAAATAAAAGAAACATAAAGGTTACATGCCAGCTGAGCTATCAGCAACGGATGGGCATCGTTTCGGAAAGCTAGCAGCGGGCTATTAGGCAACAAGAAAAATTCTAATGTAAAATTATACTAAGCTACGAAATGACATCGTGGTTGGAGGGGAGGCTAAGACGGATGGGGAGGGACAAAGAAACTCATAGCAGGAACGCCGCTGACGTCGGTTCCTAGCCATGTCAGCAAGTGTATCTAGCCAAACGTGTTCATCGTCTTTTGGATCCCAACCAGGGAGCCGTGAAGCTCCAATCGAGGCCAGCTACGAAGTGTGGGCCTTCATTCCTCTGGACCAAGTCATCGCTTGGCCACCCCTCCTCTTCTTCCATCCACAGCCCCAGTGAGCAAACAACGCACGTCGCGGGAGTCGGTGGGCTCGCATGCGTAACACATGGCCGAGCCATCGGAGCCTGGTACGTGAAATGACGATGTTGAGCGGTTCAGATCCTTTTCGTGTGCCATAAACACGGCGTCGAACACGCTCGTTGCTGACACGGTGTTCCCAACAGATGGGAGCCAAACTGCGAAGGCACCGATGATCGAAGCCTCTTTATGTCTGCTGATCTAAGGCGCCAGGTTTCGTGACCGTACAGTAAGGTCGAACGTACCGCACTTCGAGCTTTTGCTATACGGTTCGTGATTACGTCTTCGATCCCAAGGGCGCTGATACAACTTCCCAGGTAGTTGAATTTCCGAACAACTTCTAGCTATTCCCCACCAGCGCAGTAGGCGGTCATTGCCAATCTTGGAGGAAAGCTTTGAACTTTGAGGATGCATGCATGGCCCGAAACCGCTGACAGCCAGCACTAATCTGTCCAGTGCAGTTTGGCACGTCTGGGAGCTGTCACAGTTGAGGGCAGTGTCGTCTGCATACTCCAAGTCATGAAGTCGTTCTCTCCTAAGTTGTGTTCTGTAACCGCAATCTCCATGACTTCGTCAATAGCGAAGTTGAATAGGAAAGGTGACAACGGGCCTCCTTGTCTCACACCGCTGGAGATATTGAAAGGCGGCGACAGCTTGCCGTAAGCCCTCACTCTGCCCGTGCTACGCGCGTAATGCTCGGATAATTTTTACACATCTCTCGGGCACACGTTTTCTGAGTAGGCAGTACCAAAGGGCACATCGATTAACCGAATCGAAGGCACCTTTGATGTCGAGGAACACGACTACGGTGGGCCGCCAATATGTGTGACGGTGCCCAGCAATTGACGCAAAGTGAAGATGTGGTCGATGCAGCCACAATCTCGACGAAACCCGGCTTGATCCTCACGAATCTGGCTTTCACGAGCGCCAGTCAGTCTGAAGGATTACAGAGGCAAGTAATTTGAAGACGATGGGGACCAGACGGATTCCTCTATGATTGCCGGGTTCCGAGCGCAAGCCTCCTTTGAAGATGGGGACAATAACGGAGCGGGTCCAGTCGGTGGGGACAGCTTTCTGCTCCCACAGTTTCATTAGTAATTCGTGTAAACCATCAACAAGAGCAGAGCCTCCGAATTTGAAGAGGGCTAGATGAAGATCATCTGGTCCCGCGGCTTTGTTCAACTTCAACAGTCCGATCTCACGTTTGACTTCTGAGCGAGAGGGCGGATCCAAAGAGACAGCCAAAGGAGCAGAGCGAACACTGGCCGGTGAGGAATCGAATAATCTCGACCGATTAAATTGCTTTTCAAAATGCTCAGCCCAACGCTCCAAACGCTTTGACAAATTGTGGATAGGTTGTCTACTCTCGTCACAAAATGCTTCACTAACACCAGGTCTCCTGCTGCCGTTTCCCGTATAGGAAGGAATAACTTTCGTTGGTTACCAAGGGCAGCGGATACTTCCATCTCTGACGCATGAAGATACCACCAGGATTTGCGGTCTCTCGTCAGGTTAACACGGAGTTTTGCCTGGAGCTCTTTGTGAGTTTCATTGTGTTCGCTTCCAGCCGGAATAAGCAGGCGAACACCGATAAGTTCCAGAGCTCGCGAAGAGCCCCAATGTCCATGTTGGCGGTTAGACTTACCACATGAGGATTTGCCTGCTGCTAGTAAGGTCTGGTGAACATGCGACCAGTGATCTTCAATTGTTTCCAGTGAGCGCTTACTCAACTCGCATGTCAGCGTATTTTGATGGGCATTCAGAACAACTGGCTTCATCAGTTGGCTGGTGTGATCACGTTTTGCACTTTCGCTCCCGCTGGAGTTTCTAACCTAACCGTCCATGGCTCGTACTGCATCACCTGAGTAGGAAGAGGTTCTGGAACAGAGGGCCAACTGAACTTTTGAAAGTTTTCCGCCCAAGGAGCCATACGGCGCTCTTTATTGGGTATCAGTGCACCTGCGCTGTCTCTGTTCCACTGACGCCTGGTTTCCTTGGACCAGTGGTGCGGATCAGCTGGAAGAGCTTGCGGTAATTGCCTACCGCTCCTGCCTCCTCCATTTCATCAGCCCGGCTGGTCCACCAGGCTTCCTTGTCAGTATGCTCCGATTTAGTTCGCGCCTAATAGCCCATCTGGTCACATTGTGTTCAGAGCCAGCCGGGAGGTTTCTTCTGGATTCCAATAGGTTCACCGACCTCTCGGACATCCAGTGACTGCCATGGTGACGATGGATAGTACCACAAGCAGATGCTCCCATATAGTGCATGGCTACCGAGATCCTATTCCACTGAAGCTCAGTGTCATTAGGACAAGACAGCGAAAGTTCGATACGCAGTGCGTCTTGATAAGCTTGCCTGACCGAGGGCTGAGACAATTTCTCGGTTGCCAATCGGAGAAGACGCTTGGTGCGCATCTAGGTAAAGTTCATGTAGAAACCACAGCATACCAAGGCACGGTCAGCGTGGACGCAGGTATTCCAGAACGAGCGGCAATCTAGGATGGAACCACGCCACCTGTAAGTTATGGAAATGTGGTCAATTTAGGTCCATCGCTGACCAGCTACAGAAGGACGCCAAGTGGCACCGGCGCCCAGTGTGCCTTAAAGCGGTGCTACTAAGAAACAACTGGTGCTCCGCACACAGTTACAACAGACGCTCGCCGTTGTCAGTCCGTTCGGAGTTGAGCCCGTAA